GGCTGATTTTGCTGCTACGGCGGCACTCCACAAATCTGTGACGCCACTTCTGATCCCATACTCCGATTGCAAAGCTGTCATTAGAACATATATCCGTGATCTAATCCAGAAGAAGTGGGACGCCCAAGTAGGTATTAATAAATTACCTGCAATAAAACCCTACATTGGTTACACCTACTTGGGTTGTCAGCCCAGATTTGAACAGGGCATCGTGCAACGTTGTCCCATTGGCTATACAAGGTATACTCGTGAATATTTGTTAAAAGGCTAAGATCCTCCATCTGTGATCCATCCTCCCTTGTGATGAAAGAATCACGGTCAATCATGTCCTGTTTGGCTGTATAGATTTTTCCATCACAACGGATAAATATTTCATAGAGAAATCCATGGCCGCCTCTCCGTCATTCCTTGTGTTGCTGGTTAGCGTCCCGGTGGTGTGGTGTCACTACCCGGGTGAGTCGTTTATACATGAACGTCATACTGACATTTGCCTTTTCTGGTGTCATCACTGATTGTCATGCTTCTGTCCCCTTTAGTCACATATTTTGCACTTTTTTGACAGAAGGTGAGGTGAGGTGAAATTGGGTTTAACGTCGTGCTTGAGAATATTTCGCTCATATGACGACGTGCATGCGTGTGTATGTATATGTGCGGCTGCTTGTACTAGCCCAGACTTAAGCTGGTTTTATAGTGCTAGCCCACTGAGATACCATGCCGCAGTGAAGCATGAATACCCCACTCAGACACATTATACTGACTCCGAGCCGACCAGTCCTTGTTGTACCCATTAATGCCGAGCGCCAGGCAGGGACCGACAAGTACCATATTTTAACGTATTTTGGTATGACGCGGTCGGGGATCGAACCCGCGACCTTCCGCTCTCCGGGCGGACGCTCTAACCACTACGCCACGGAGGCGGTCTTTTTGACAGAAGAACTGGTTACACTCTGGCGTTGACATTCCATTATATATGTACAAAGAATATGCTTGTATCTGACTTTACAATATTACCACTCATAACTGTACATTATAAAATTGGGCTGAAGACCGTCAGCACCCAAAGGCAGGCCACCACACTGGAGGTGTGTGTGTGGTGTGGGGGGGGGGCGCTGAGGGTGTGCGTGCTTATCAGTCACTTAAACCAAACAGTTAAACGTCATACATATGCTGCGTTTAAAACAATGTAAAATGAGAATTAGATTTAATCAAATTAGACTCACGCAACCTCTCAGGGGTACAAATATTTTAAGTTACTTCAACAACCTTTGAGTGAATGAGTTAAAATTTATAGTCATTTTGGCAATATTTAATAGTAAAACAACTAGGTTATCACAGTTAGAGATTTAAAACTAGCATTTAAATTATATAGCTATTTAGGTCATTACAACATAATAATGGGCTATAGATCGCCAGCAACTGAAGGTAGATCACCATACTGGGGACCATGGGTACTTACATTGCCTTTGCTACCTGCATGGACCATAGTTGGATTTACACCATCCCTTCAGCCGCTGGCGATTGAAGTCAAATCTAGCCATAATTTAATATTACAAAAATACTACGTTTAAAAAATCTTGTAAGTATAAATTTACCTTAAATATTTTGGGACTTACGTACCCCACAGGAGGACAATAATTTTACAATACTTCAACCCCCTGTGAGGATACAGTCACTAACAATCTAAGTTGATAATTTAAACTACCCATAATAAAATATAGATCTATATACAAAACATATCAATCAAAATTTATCAAGTAATTCTATTTCTTTTATAAATTCAATAATTAAATGATAATTAACATTATAGAAACGATCCTTAAATGTTTTGACACTGAAGTATTTATCCCTCGCGATGGAAAACAACAACCTTTGAAGGTAGAGTAGATATTTAATCATTCTATCAATTAAAATCACTGAGTAATTACAATACATTTCAAAAATTAACAATTAATTCAATTTCTTTTAAACACCCAAAAAGATCCTTTAGGGATGAAACTGTGAAATGATTATCCCTTGTGATGGAAAAATCAATACAGTCATGGAGGACATGATTGGCGGTTAATCTTTATCACGTGGGATACAAAATGGATTATCCTCCCCTTAAATAAATAACCATGGGACATCGTCGTAAAATTACCTCTTCAAATCTGGACTAACAGCCCAAGTAGGTATAGCCGATAGTTGCTTTTATTTCGTGTAGTTTATTGATACCAAGTAATTAACTTGGGCGTGCCACTTCTTTTGCATTAGATTTATGGTATTTCTGGTTATCTAATAACAGGTTTATCATCACTGTAAGGCATCAGAAGTGATTTGTTGAGGGCTGCTTTAGCATAAGAATCAGCTATTGTTTTACTGGTGATTCCAATGTGGCTAGGTAACCAACAAAAGACTATGTCGTATTGGCCAGTTGCAAGTTCATTATGTAATTCAAGAATCTTGATTAAAAGTTTAAGATTCTTAAGTTTTGTTAATGTAAGATCTACCTGCTGTCTTAACAATTGTCAAGGTGGGAAAGAAAGCAGGCGGAAAGGAGATATATTTTCAAGGTCGATATTGGCAGCAGTAATGAAAGGTTTAATACTTATTCCTGGAGGCGGAACTAAAGAAGACTTGTTATTGTACAGATTCCCATAAAGAGGACGAAAATCGCAGCTGAATGCACCGTTGGACTCATCTGAAAAAGTTTTGTGATATATTGTAAAGATAGTTCTATTCCGCGTTGTTCAAGAGATGTTCATCGGCCATTACAAACAGACTGTCAACAGGTGATGTTCTGAAAAATCCAAGACAAAGTCTAAGACCTTGATGGTGGACAGAATCTAAAAGTTTTAGTTTGCTTTTGCAGTCTCCACCAAAAACGATGGAGCCGTAATCGTGTTTAGAACGAATTAGCGCTCTGTACAAATGAAGGAGGGTTGACTGGTCCCCTCCCCATTTCGAATTAGAAACAACTTTTAGTAAATTGTGTGGCTTCAGGCATTTATTCTTTAAATATTCTGATGTGCGAAGAAATGGTAAGGTGCTGATCAAATATTATTCCCAGGAATTTGGCTTCTTTTAGGACTTAAAAAGGAGTACCGGGAGTGCAGTGGTTAGGCGTCTGCCTATCACGCTGAAGGCCCGGGTTCGATCCCCGGTGGAGGCACCTAGGTTCGGGTCCCGAGGTGGGCACATTTGCGTAGTATCCTTGGACAAGATACTTAGATTCACATTGTCTCACCCAGCTTTAAAATGGGTACCCGTGAGGATGTGCTAGCAATGTGAGTGTTTAGTTCATTGCGCCTAACAGGTAAGTATCGGAAAGTACAATAGTGTCCTATGACCGTGGATGGTAATGTACATAGCGTCGTGAGCAGGCAATGTGCCTGGATGTGTGCGCCACATAAGCGGACTATTACCATCTAAATTTAATTATGGATATAGTATATATTTTTTAACAAAAATCCCTTTTCTAAACACTATTTACTGATTCTATTTAAACATAGCTGCAGCTCCCTTTAAATATACTAAATTGGAGTTTTGCCACGACACGAAACATTAAAATCATCCAAAAAAGAGAGCTCATCTACTTAATCTGTTAAAACCTTTGATAAACTGTTGATCTTAATACTAAACAAGGTGACAGACAAAATACTACCTTGTGGGTCACCGTGATCCTAATTATAATGACCAGACAGGGTGGAACCCACACGGACTTGAAATTGTCTGTCATTTAAAAAGTCATCCAAATTTAATTAAGTCTTTTAAAATACCATGTTTCCAGGTAGTGTCGCGTGCTTTTTCTAGATCGAAAAAAATCGACACTGCATGTTGTTTATTAATTATGGCATTTTAACAAAAGATTCTAAACGCACTAAATGATCGATGGTACATCTGTTTTTATTGAAACCTCATTGTATAGCTGTTATGAAGTTATTGGTTTCCAAGTGCCAAACAAGTCGATTATTTTATCATGGGTTCCTTGGTCTTGCAAAAGCAGCTAGTTAGTGAAATTGGTGAAGTTAGAAGGATCAGTATGATCACGTCCAGGTTTAGGGATGGGAACAATTATAGCATCACGCCATGAAGTAGGATATTTTCAAGATGTCCAGATGTCATCAATAATATGTAAGAGCGTCTCTAAACATGATTCTGGTAAGTGCTTCAGGAGCTGATAATTTATACCATCAGCTCCTGAAGCAGCATGGTGAGCCTGATCGAAAGCTGTATGAAACTCGTGTATCGAAAAGGTTTTGTTGTAATCTTCCCCATTATCTGAAGTAAAACTAATAGATTTCTATTCTTGCTGTTTTTGATACGGAAATAATGCTTGGCTTTCTTCCGTACCTTCCTAGCCTGTTTTTTGCTTATTGTTGGTTTTACCATGGTTTTCGTGTGTGTGTAATTGCAAATATTTTGGGATACACTCATCAGGTATATTATTGAATTCATCAGAGAAATCCTTTTACGGTATCAGGTTTAAGTCTGTTACAGCACATAGTTTGATATAGATGCCAGTTAACTTTTTAAAGTTCCATCCTTAGGAAGGGGTAATATCAGATGGATTCACAGGTTTAAAAATTGTCTGAAAAAGGTCACATCCACAGGTCATCGTGGACTGACCATTCAAATTCATTCAGTAGGTTTGAATCTGTAACTGATAAATCAAGAGCTGAATAAGTTCCTGTGCAAGGATGTAAATATGTGTTGGAACCGTCATTATATATGCATAAATCATTATTCGAACAGAACTCTTCCAATAATTTATTTTTAGGGCTCCTTGCCTCTAGGCAGGAGACCTATTGTAATCGTTCGGATTATTATTATTATCATTATTATTTATTATTCCGCCGATTTTTGTACCAAACATACCTCCTAAACCAATGCTCCGAATCGCTTACAAAAAAATCACACAGATGCCCACCGAGGTGAAAATATTCCCCTTAAAAATCTCTAGGCTCTTGGCCAAATAGCAAAGGGGAGATAATTCAAAAGTTTGACAGCAAATATCTCAAGAACTAATTGTTCCAACACTTCCAAATCTCTTGTTTATTCTGGTTAAAGGTACGCTGCGCTTTAGCATTTAACAATTTAAATTTATTTAAATGTTAAATGTGACGTCATAGGGAAAGGTTCGCCTGGTCGCCTGGTCAGACTAAAGTCGATTTATTTTGTTCAAGACTGATGGCTGAGCTCGTGTTTGTCGCCTCACAAACACTGCATATGCACAACGGAATATCATGGCGCAGGTACTGTTTAGTAGGTGTTCATTAATTGTGATGTGGGGGTGCTTGTCACATGAGTGTAAACCTGACCTTCTTACGACCCAAACGAACATCTGAACAGAAAACGGTACATCACTGGCATCCTTTACAGGATGGTTGTACCACATTTGATGATCATCCTCTGAACACAATGCCAGTCGCTATGGACGACAATGCTTGTCCACATCGTACACCTGCTGTTGGTGATTGTTTCTTAGCAACTCAATCCCATAGAACATGTTTGATTTCAAACGGAAATCTCATCCCTCACATGGATGCTAAAAATCACAATGTCCTTCCATTAGAATCTATATACATTGTACAATGTTGTCCAAGTACCATTTATTATGACTAAGACATATGCACTCTGGTATCTGCTCTCGGTCTTGAAGGGAGCTCCAAATATGTTTCGTTTCAGCTAACGCTCTGCTCGTTGTGCTAAATCAGGATGTATATACGTTTTTAACATCTTCATCATCAGCAACACAAGCACCAGAAATACCGGTACCTTGCTTTATCAATGCAGCTATATACATTCTGTCCAGCAGTCTATGTCCGGGATCGTGTGCACTGGGGTGTTCCTAAATCTCCAAAAACCGTCGATGCAAGATCAACGTGTGGCAGTGGCAGATAATTTGAGTCTTCTTCTGTTGGCCAATGTTCCGGCAGTCATACCACCTGTAACAATATCTCTCAGTCTGTTGTAAATGTGTTCCTTATCTTCTTCACAAGCAGAATTAAGTTCTGTTGTTTCTGCCAATTTCTCTATTAGTTGGTAACTTTGCTCTTCATTTGAGGCCTTCAGGGAAGCCATTGATATCAGATGAAGGAACGTTTCCCAGCGATAGAACAGCATCCCACAGGACTGGATTATGGTAAGTAAAGCTAGGAAGCTGGTGAAGAGAAGTCCAAGGATGTCAGTGTTTAGCTGAACAACGTGCCCGCTTAGTCTGTACTCAATTCTAAAAGCTGCAGCGTTGAGTAGCTGGAACATGAGGTTGATGGCCATCCAGAGAGCATTCATCATTACTATCATGAAGCAGACGACATTTCTCAGCTCGATTAATTCAGTTTTGTTTTGGTTTTCTTTCAGAGGATCCTGTTCTATTGGTTTTAAATACTTTTCAATTAAATCATTCCAGAAATTCTTTTCTTTGCCAACTAGCGTCAGAACTGGTCCATTTCCAAGTGCAGGATCATGAGCCCAATGGTTTTCTCTGTAAAATTCATTTTCTGTTTCATCTTCTGCTGGCAGCGGCTCTTCCGCAGACACATTTATACTTCTAGTAGCAACACTTTCACAAGAAGACTGACTTTGGGGCTCTTTTCCTGCTAACTGGTCTAACTGTTTCGGCACATTGCGATACATTTGTGTCGGAAGTGCCACAGCATCCTGCCTGTCTTTGCTTGATGACGATAACTTAAGTTTTAGCTCCTGTAACAGTTGTTTGAGTTCTTGGATGGAGGTGGAACTGAAGAAAAGACGTGCAAACAAACCATCTACCTTCTTCTCGCTCTGTGCAGCTTCCCTTTCAGCCTTCAGCTGCTGCTTTGTTTTCCTGTCTGGAATCTCGCGAGTGCCCCAGGATACGATGTTCAGATTGCAAAGTGAATATATTAACAGTAAAATGTATGTTGATGGAATACACAGAAAGTACAAAAGTCCATGAGGTAAACAACCTTTTTCTTTCCAATGGAGCAGCCCAGACATGATATACAAAACAGGAAGAATGATGGTAAACAGCACCCTCAGATGAAGAGCACTTTGCTCAAAGGCAATCATAATGGTTCGAGCAATGACAACCATCATTATGAAGGCATAAATAACACTAAATAGTGTCGCAAGATTTAGCTGAATCTTTGTAGAGGCAGTAAAGCAAGTGATTGTAAAGATGGTTGGAATTAGCAAAGATATCAGATAAGCATATATCAATCCGGGGGCGAAGACTGCTTCAATGGCACCGGCAATCATCAAGATGACAGAGCCAGGTGCTAAGATGGTGCCCGCCATCATCGCTGTCTGGTATATAATGTACAAGTAACTGACGTTGGAGTTGCTAGCTACAATGGCTTCAGATGACGATAACAGGTCTATAATATTGGCGAGGATGGAAGGAATCCAGCGTCTTCTCTGGTTAAAGAACTCATTGAATCCTTCTGGGGCATACGTGTAGGCGGCAGCGGCAGCAGCATAGTCTAGTCGATATCCCTGCTTAAGCAGCAGTGTGCTCAACCATCGATCTTCACCTGGGAATAGTAAAGCAGCTTTACATATTCTGAAAAGTAATACATTCGTCGTACATTTTTCGAGAAAAAACAGAGTACTTAAATGTGTCAATACCTTGGTCATATTGAAGGAAGTGTCCAGGTTTGGTTGGCAGTGTTGTGTATGTCCTCATAATGTTGTCATCCATTAACGCCGAGGCTCTGAGGAGGGAGAAGCACCCAGGAATACAGAGGACGCACCCCAGCACTTGCTCAGTAGATTTCTGTAGCCAGTGGCCTATAGCATATTCAAACTTCTGGTACCACACAAGAGGCCCTGCAATTAACAAAAATGAGTATGTGCTGGTTCTGTGAATGCTCGAGAATTATGCATGATCTTTTCAATACAGCCTTGTGATTCATATGATTAAACTACACAACCTGACATACGTTTATGCATTATAGCGAGCGAGTTTAGTTTTACACTGCTTTCATTCCAGCAATATGACAGCGGGGTTATGCATTATTAATAGGCATACCTGAACCAATGGGATGAATTCTGCCAGTGACCGCACCAACATTATCATTTGACATTTTTTCCAGCAGGGATCTGACCGCCCCAGGACAGAAATCTACGTCGCCATCAAGTGTCAGAATAAACGTATTATTGCTCTGAAAGTGAAATAAAATATGCATCAAATCTTTTACACGTGCTAATTTTGTTTTGAAAGGCACAATGACTATTACAAACATTGTTTGAAGTGTATGACAAAAAGTGGACAAACATTAGACTAATACCTTTGTATTGATTTTTGAACTTAGTTTATTTCAGAATAATTAATTAAATCAAAATTCTTTGCTTACGTGTTTCGCACCTTGTTCCTTTAGTTCTTTTCCTGGTAAACTTTTCAGTTTCAACTTGGGAATCAACGCGCAAATATATCTATATATTCCAGGATGAGCTTTCTCTGGCTTTGACGCCTTCGAAACTCTTCATCACAACATACTCAGAGCATAAACCTTCTATAGTGAATGTCAAGGGTATGGCACAAGGTTGTAGTCTACCGTTCATGAATTACTGAATTTTGACTACGGGTCATGATTACTTACCTTTCTTTGAGTGTCCAGGTCAATCATTTCGCTGATGTGCTTTTTGTCCATTGGTGTGTCTTTGTTGATTTGTTTAGCGATGTCTTGAGCAGAATCTTTCAGGATTTGATACCCCAGTAAGAAGTACATGTACATCACCTGCAACAGTGAGTGAGTATGGTTTTACGCCGTTTTTAGCAATATTCCGGCGGGGGACACCAGAAATTGGCTTCACACATGTCTGGAATCGAACCTGGATCTTCGGCGTGACGCACCTGCAAAAAACGACCAGTAGTTGTGTGGTTCGTCAAATCAAATTGATAAGTCAGGGTTATCCATGTGCTAAAAGACTGCAATACTATCGGAATTGACATTAAAGGTACTCAGCTTGGTTGGCTTAATGTCGCTTTGAACAGTATTCCAGTTATTTATTTATCTCAGCCCATCAGCTACTATTGGGGGAAAGGTTTTAAACATTTACAATATTTGTGAAATCCACGTAAATTGGCACGGTGCTGAGTTATACCTAGCAACAACGATCACAGGTCAAATACGGTCCCTAGTATGGTGACCTACCATCAGTTGCTGACGATCTAAAGGCCTAGAGATTTTTTCTGGGTTACATCAGTTTTACCTGATGAAGGGGCCAGAACAAGCCCTGAAACGTTGTACTCGAGAATAAAAAGAAGATGTAACCCAGAAAAAATCTCTATGTTCATCAAATATCATCTTCTAAAATGCCAATCAAGCAGCTGATCTATAGCCCTGTTTATATATTGTGTTGTTCATAAGGTTACATGCTAGTTTAAATTCTCTATCTGTGAGTTAGTCCTCATGGCGACCTACCTTCAGTTGCTGGCGATCTATAGCCCTGTTTATGTATTGTGTTGTTCATAAGGTTACATGCTAGTTTTAATTCTCTATCTGTGAGTAAGTCCTCATGGCGACCTACTTTCAGTTGCTGGCGATCTATAGCCCTGTTTATATATTGTATTGTTCATAAGGTTACATGCTAGTTTTAATTCTCTATCTGTGAGTAAGTCCCCATGGTGATCTACCCTCAGTTGCTGGCGATCTATAGCCCTGTTTATCTATTGTGTTGTTCATAAGGTTACATGCTAGTTTTAATTCTCTATCTGTAAGTAAGTCCCCATGGTGATCTACCTTCAGTTGCTGGCGATCTATAGCCCTGTTTATCTATTGTGTTGTTCATAAGGTTACATGCTAGTTTTAATTCTCTATCTGTGAGTAAGTCCTCATGGTGACCTACCTTCAGTTGCTGGCGATCTATAGCCCTGTTTATATATTGTATTGTTCATAAGGTTACATGCTAGTTTTAATTCTCTATCTGTGAGTAAGTCCTCATGGTGACCTACCTTCAGTTGCTGGCGATCTATAGCCCTGTTTATATATTGTATTGTTCATAAGGTTACATGCTAGTTTTAATTCTCTACCTGTGAGTAAGTCCCCATGGTGTTCTACCCTCAGTTGCTGGCGATCTATAGCCCTGTTTATCTATTGTGTTGTTCATAAGGTTACATGCTAGTTTTAATTCTCTACCTGTGAGTAAGTCCCCATGGTGATCTACCTTCAGTTGCTGGCGATCTATAGCCCGATTTTATATTGTGTTGTTTTGAAGTGATTTAACATTTTACACTGAACTTAAATTAGTTTTAATCAATTTGTGATAATTTAGTCGTTATACTGTCCTTCGCTGACATGTTTTTAAATAAGTATAGTTATTCTTAGTACACACCTTTTCGCCGTCACGATATGGCTGAAATATTGCCGATGTGAAATATTGTAAATATTAACTCATTCAATCACTCTCTATCTGTGATAATCTAATTATTTCACTGTCCTTCGTCGACAGGGTGTTTTATAATTTAATTGCATTTATTATGAATTTGTAATTTGTTAAAGTCATGATATGGCTGAAATATTGCCGATGTGACTATAAATATTATCTTACTCACTCAAAGGTCAAATCCAGTTTCTGGTATGCCCAAAGGTCGCAACTGAGATTGTTAGTGGCTGTACCTTCAAAAGAGGTTGAAGTATTGTAAAATTATTGTCCCCCTGAGAGGGTACGTAAGTCCCAAAACATTCAAAGTAACTTTAAAATTGCCATTCTTATAAACGTAGTATTTTCGTTATTTTAACTACTACTATTTTTAATCACAGTATGTATGTTATTTTAACGTATAGCTAGATTATCTAAAATTGCTAACAGCTGAAGGGATGGTGTAAATCAAGCTAGGGTCCATGCAGGAAGCAAATGTCCCATTGTTGCCCAGTATGGTGGTCTACCTTCAGTTGTTGGCAATCTGCAGCCTGTGTTTACATTGTCTTGTCATGTATACTTAAAATGTTTTAAACTTAATTACTAGTTTTAAATCCATTTCGTTTTACTGTCCTTTGCAGACAGGTGGGTATATTATATCAGTTTGTTTTTCTTCATTTATAAATGTACAACTGTCTCAGTCACTATATGGCTGAAATACTGCTGATGTGACTTTAAATTTTAACTCACACACTCACTCACTATATCTGTGATAAACTAGTTGTTTTACTGTCCTTCGTTCACAGATGTTTATGAGTTACCTATAATTATTATTAAAATATAACTTGATATAGTCACAATATGGCTGAAATATTGCCGATGTGACTTAAATGTTTAACTCACTCACTCACTCTTTCACTCACTCACTCACTTCCAGAAGATTTTGCGTTTTGTTTTGTTGGGCACTTTGTTTTTTTTTTTTTTGGGGGTTTACCAAGATACAAAGTCATACAAAATGAGGAACGTGAGGCTGGAACATAGCAAAACCAGTTTGTTTGAGATTGACAGATAATATGTGGAGGAAAAAACATAATAACAGCTGCTTTCGTATCATGGTCTGAGGCCGACTACTTTTTGACCGACCCTCGTAGGCGTCATCATTGTGGGGAACACCCACAGCATGTAGTTATTGGCTGCCCTACAATTAAGAGAAACCTACGGTCATTACCATAATTGGCCACTTATATAGCGCTGAGCTCCATGCTCTAAGCGACATGATCTAGGTGCATACGACATGATGGACATTATTGCCCCGGATAACCCAAGCTACCTGTGAAGCGCTAGAAGGTTAATAGTCATATGACGTATACCACCGGGTACCCATTTTCTGCTGGGTGAACGGAGGCAATTTTGAACAAATTCACTTGCCCATGGTGTCTCGTTGTGCGGCAGGACAGAAGTCTAGAAACCCTTTAGGAGTCAAACACTGTCACACACATCCATAGACGCTCTGTGACCAACGTTGCTTAACTTCATCTGATTTGTGACCTGCGCTCTACGCACAAGACCACACACACCAATTGGGACCCTGATGTGTCCAAGGAATGCATAGTGATTCATAAACACATGCTCTGTCATCGTATCGCATGGTGACAATCATCGGATGTCTTGCTTGACTGTATTGATTTTTCCATCACAAGGGACAAATATTTCAGTGTCAAAACAATTAAGAACCTTTTTTATAATGTAAATTATTATTTAATAATATTTTTTTAAAGAAATAGAATTATTAGATAAATTTTGAACAATATGTTTGTGAATACATAAATGGTATTTTATTATAAATGTTAGTATAAATTAGCAACTGCGATTGTTAGTGGCTGTATCCACAAAGGGGTTAAAGTATCGTAAAATTATTGCCCTCCTGAGAGGGTACGAAAGTCCCAAAACTTCCAAAGTAAATTTTAACTTACCATTTAAGGACCATGCAGGTAGCAAAGGCAATGTAAGTCCCCACGGTCTTAGTATCTGTCCATCGTCGACAGATTTTAATCTTCAAAATGTTTTCATCTTTATTGAATAAATTGTTTTCGTCACGATATGGCTAAGACATTGCCGATGTGGCGATAAATATTCACTCACTCATAAACTCATGCTCTGTGAGTTTCGCATGGTGTCCATCACTGGATTGTCTGGTTCAGACCCGATTTGTTTACAAACAACATCATACAGCTGTAATACCACTGAAACAAATATCTGCTCATGATATAGTCACAATTGTACAATCGACTCTGCTTTTGGCAGAGATTACTTATGAATGTGAAAAGGGTTTTGTCGCCTCTATTCACGATTAACTCTGGCAGATATGATTGAAAGCGTGGTAGTTACCTGTGACCATCTCTTCCTATGTCGGATCTTGTTTTTATCTTTCAGGTGCACATATAAGAGATTCCCTCCTGGCATCTCCCAGATGAGCTGGGCCCCGTACGGAGTGATGACTTTGTAGGGATCGTGCAGATGGTACCTCCGGTGAACAGAGCTAGGGAAAAGTTCAACGTCACGTTCAAGATTATGGCAGTTATGGAGCATGCACGTATGTGCGTTTATCTGCCTGCGTCCAGACTATGTTTCGTAGTGATAGCCCACTTAGATACAGTATACAACTTCGAGCCTAACCGTCCCTGTGTTGTCCCTTAAATGTCAAACACGGGGCAGCGATTTTCCACTCTCTGGCCAGAAGCTCTGTTCAGTAGACTATGGACGCGGCCTCAATAGTAGAATGTCCGGAACTGATAGTGAGCCTAGCCAGCCCGACTCGGCCAGCAATCTTTGCTGTTTATGTTTTTATTCTGTAGAAAGAAGACTCCCGTGCAAGTACACAACCCAAGCTGCCTGTGAAGTTCTGCTATCTTCCATTCACCCCGGTCCGTAGCATGGTGATCTACCTTCAGTTGTTGGCAATCTATAGCCTGCTTTTATATTGCATTGTCCTTTATAGTTAAGATATTTTAGACTTAAATACTAGTTTTAAATGTATATCTGTGATGATCTAGTTGTTTTACTGTCCTTCGTTAACAGCTTTTTAAAATTTACTTTCAATTACTATATATTTGATTTAGTCACGATATGGCTGAAATATTGCCGATTTGACTTGAAATCTTAACTCACCCAGTCACTCCATTCACCCGTTCACTGATAAACGAACATTAAAACTAGAGTAGATTATGACAAACGAGTTCACAGACTATTAAATTAAATTTTAAAAACTTGATAGGGATACGGAGAACTATATGACGCGAACTCATAAACTTAATGCTATCGTTACCATTCACACCATGTCCACCTAAGTAAACATATACTCATGCCAATAATGGTTGTCAACCCCTTCAAAAAAAATTATTGGAGAGGGTGTGTGGGGGGTTGGGGTGGGGAGGGGGGTGACAACCATTATTTGTATGAATATATTTTTAAGTCCCCATGGTTCCTAGTATGGTGATCGGTTCACACCCATAACCCGTACACTCTCATTTCACCTACACCCCAGTTCACTCACTAAGGCGACTAACGGGATCGGCTGGTCAGGCTCGCTGACTTGGTTGACACATGTCATCGGTTCCCAATTGCGCAGACCGATGCTCATGCTGTTGATCACTGAATTGTCTGGTCCAGACTCGATTATTTACAGACCGCCGCCATATAGCTGGAATATTGCTGGGTGCGGCGTAAAACTAAACTCACTCACTTACACTTAATCAATGCATGTTTTCTCAGTACCCCGACACTTTGCTGTGGTTCTACCCTACTCACAAATTGACTCACCCAATTAAAAAACGAGCTTGGCTCATTTCTGAAGAAACTTGGGGATTGATATAGACAAACATTTTCACCCCTTTTCGCGAGAGTTTCAATGGTCATTTAATAAACTTGCACCCCGTCTTCTGTAGTTAACAATTGTAGTTATTTTCACTCTCCTTCGTTGACAGGCTTTTTTATAATTTCCATTTATGGTGTATTTAAAACTTGTTTTAGTCACGACATGGCTGAAATATTGCCGATGTGACTGTAAATCTCAACTCACTCACTCTCACTATCTTTGTAATGTCACGATATGGCTGAGATATTGCCGATGTGACTATAAATCTTAACTCACTCACTTCACTAAACATATTTTAAGTAAGTGTCTAACGAGTTATAGACGTCAAATATCCTTCTGTGATTCTACAGTTAAGAGTCCTACCTGCACGCCTCCTTCATGATCTTGACTAACGTTCTTACAAACACATTAGCCTGCCATTTGTCATCGTCGTTTATTTCCAGAGAATCATCAAAAAATATATGAGCTGGAACAAAAATGTTTCTTTTAAAAGCTGTGAGGTTTTTCAATTCTGAATCATAACAAAGCAGTTATGTTTGTCATAACACTGAGTGGGTGAGAGATTCATTCACTTTAAACCCTTACGATGCATCACGCTGATATTGTTGCAGTTGATTCAGGTATTAAATGGTCATTCTAAACATTTTAAGTAAAGCACAGCTGATATATAGGTCATTGTGTAAGATCTATAAGAGACTGACTGACTGACTGAGTTTGGTTTTACGCCGCTTTTAGCAATATTCCAGCAACATCACGGCGGGGAACACCAGAAATGGGCTTCACGCATTGTGCCCATGTGGGGATTCGAACCCGGGTCTTCGGCGTGACGAGCCAACGCTTTAACCATTAGGCTACCCCATCGCCCCATCTATAAGAGAAATGATACTTACGTGAACCATAAATGTGTATGGTTCAAGTCGGAGAAATCACTTGAATCATTTGATTACGGAATTAAAAGGTTGTTGTTCCTATTTCCGTGACATTTCCATTCAGAGATTTCTCCTTAATGGAATCTATGCAAAAGATTTCTTGAAACTTTTCCAAATATATATTATACATGTGTCTGTGACAATTAGCCATGCTGTTGGTTTTGTTGCACTCAACAGTATTTATGTCTGTGATGACGCTCTGTAAATCGAGACCAGACAACTCAGTCATCATGGACATGGAACCACGCAACCTGGATACCGTGACGAACAATCAACCACAATCGCCGAACCAGACGAACGTCTCTTATGACAGGAATGGTTTGCCGTGGACCTGCTTTCTTACCAAGAACCACCATGGGTTTCTCCATCTGAAGTCCGACCGATTACTTTTAGTCGTTCATGTACTAATGAAGGATGTATGGATTTGTTTGGCAATCCAGTGATCAACAGCATGAGCATCGATCAACGAAATTAGGATAAGATGACATGTGGCAACCATGTCAGCGAGCCTGGCCACTCGATCCCGTTAGTCGCCTCTTATGACAAGCATGGATGGCTGAAGACAAACCGGATCTTCATGGGTACGGTGAAATGGAGACAGACTTTGGGGGTTTTGGTTCAAATTTATGATACCTGGAGATTTCATGGCATTAAAATCAATTTGAATGTAAAGGTCAAACATATCGTATTGTCACTGAGATCGTCCAGACTGTCAGCGTGTTATCTTTACCAACATGTTTTTGCACTGAAGAAGCTTACCCTGATAGTTGAACCTGTCTCTCTCGCCCACCATGTTACGAAGGACTGCACATTGTTCTCTCAAGGCCTGATCTCTGTCCAGCCTAGGGACACAACAAACAATATTCGCTATGACCTTCACACTTAGACTACAATCAGGTTCTAAACTCATGTACGATTACAAATTTATTTTCAGGACAAAAGTGGATTAGACGAAAGATGTTATTTTACATAATTCGCAATTTGCAGCATCCAGAATTCAATGATCGTGAGTTCAAATCCTAGATACATTCAAGGTAATCCAAGGTTTAGTAGCACCAAGAAGGACCATATTAAATGTCTGGGTCAAAGCCAATACTAAAAAAAAGGCTGTGACATGAATGACATAATGGCAGAAGTGGCTGGAACCAAACTCACTCACTAACTCACAACAATTTATAACTACCTGAACAAAGATTTCAATAGCTGAGTCATTTCCGTCTTGGTCTCGTGCCACATAGTTGCGCATGCGTAGATGCAGGGAATCTCGGCATGCTGTTGGGTTGAAGAGCTTGAATGTTGCTTGGCACTTCCGGGCTTGACTATGAAGAAGTGTTCTTGTTGGTCATCACAGATATATGTGACACTTTCATTGTGACGACGACGGTTCAGGACAAGGTTTTCACAAGTCAGAATCCCACAATAAAATGGGTTGATGAACAGTCTGGAAAGACATTGTCAAAATATTTTGATTTGCAGCATGTTATTTGTGTATAAAGAAATATTCAGAAATGTAAATGCACTCTGGAAGCATAATGTTGTTTGACAGCGTATTGGACAATCGGCAGGATTAAACCAGCCAAAACACTGGACCAGAGAAAAGATGAATGAAATCATGAGCTACCATCTATATTACGGCTATCATGACCCATGAGTATCTTAAGCCGCTTTTACATGCACACATTTACTTACAGGAGTATATTTGCTTATTGAGTAAATTTACTTACGGTAAGTAAATTGACCATGTAAAAGTCACAAAACGAATTTACTCACGTAAGTATTTATACTCCTGGAGTAAATTTACACCTGCTCTGGAGGTAAAGTAAAAGCATATTTACTCCTGGAGTACTTTACTCCAAGAGCAAATTGACCTTGTAAATGACACTTTTCATTTACTCCTGTAAGTAAATGAATTGCATCCTATCTTCAAATGTTTATCCGTTAGGATAAACGGGCTGGTGAGTCCCGGAAGCTGAAAGGCGCACTACGGCAGTCCACTACGGATGCCATTACGTTTCCTATCGGCCTGTCACTTTCTGATGGGTTCCATCACGTTTCTCACGTTTTAATCAAGGTTTTGATACGTTTCGCGCGTTCTGTCAAGATTTTGTACGGATGAACGTCAGCTTTGGAGCACGGTTGTGCCCACGGTATAAAAATAATGCCACCCAATAGCAGCCATTATATGCACAGAGACAAGAGCAGAATGAACCCCCAAGATGAAGAAGATTTTGTGTTCGTATGCTTGCTGGGGGCATACATCGTGTCCTTGAGTCAGCAAAAAGGCCAGCATCAGCTGCAGAGAGGGAATGACAGAGAAAGCAACGTGCCGTATCTCGCTGGCCCTATAAACCGTCACACGCCTGAATGCGTCGTGATGGAACGGGACGAATCGGCTACCATACGACCTAAAGTACTGTCGGAAATGCTAGAAAAATGCTTTTTGACTTTTATGTAAAAATCAGAGATATTACAGTTACTTAAATAACAAATATCACTTTAAGAAACATCTACCTAATGTAGACCGAGGGAATAACTTCTGAGACATGCCCTAAAATGTGTTTTTACTGATGAAAATATCAAAAACTTAGAAAAATAATGGGTAGTGGCACTTTATTTGACACAAACATTAACTGCCTGTGTTATGTCATCAGCATGCACGGTATCGACAGGTGAAATTGACACCTGAGCACAAGCTCGGGTGAGGGGTCATCTCAATACATCTTTCTCTTCATAGCGTTGAATATCTGTACGTATAGTATACGTATTGATTATGTAAGGGTTCATGTGATATCCACATTGCGCACACCAACAACACCTATATATATATGTGTGTGTGTGTGTACGAATTATTGTGCATGAGAAAGAATCCCATCACTTATGTTATTTTCTCGATTGATTGTAGAAATGTACAACGTTTTAATAAATGTTTTGCATGTCATTAGTATATTTCTTTGCAAAAATATGGATGTAGTTCGGTCAGTTTAATCCAGTTGTGAACATTGGCCAAAAATTTAACGAAGTCACTGGTATAGCGTCCCAGTTTTGCTTTGAGACTGTCCCTGTCTTGTCTGATTTGTTTACAATATTGTAAACTTGTCGGTAAAGACATACCAACAGCTCTACAAGTTCTGTAATAAACCCTTTCTAAACTAATGAAAGGTTTACCTCTGTCTTTCTCAAGCACAAAAAACTCATAAACCTTTGCAACAATCGACTGCAAATAGTTGGCCATAGTGAACGCTGTGATAAAGATGTGCATGCATGACGGGAAACTTATTTATTAAGACTTAACATTTATATTAATTTTTCTTCAATAAAGAAACGATAATTCAGTCAAGTAACACAAACATTCAACATTTTATTTGTTTAAGAAAAAACGTGAATTTATATTTTTGCACCACCTGTATTATTAGCATAAATGTAAAGACTATTTCAGATTTCTCATGTTAAACTCTGAAAAAATCTTGAGTTGTTGTTTTGGTATCAAATTCTCTCCTGTAAACTGTCCTTTAAATGCATGGAAATGTTAAATCGATTGAAATAAATATTAGGTACACTATAGGCGAGTTGATGTATTGACAACATAGTACATTTATCACCATTGTCAAAGTATTAAGGTTAAAAAGCATTTTTCTAGCATTTCCGACAGTACTTTAGCTTGCCGTGAGAACCGGGACAAAATGGGCAGCAAGGGTGAAACAACCGTGACAAAACGCCAAACAAACGTGGCCGAACGTGACAAAACTTTAAAGGACCGTGAAATGCTGGGGAATACACAAGACTCCCGTGCCGCTACGGACCGTCTACAAGTTTTGTTACGGCCTATTACGTGCTGTCACGTTTTGTTGCGTTCCCTCCATTTCACTACAGCCTACTACGTTTCTCATTAACAGCCTACTAGGTTTCTCATTAACAGCCTACTGGGTTTCTCATTAACAGCCTACTAGGTTTCTCATTAACAGCCTACTAGGTTTCTCATTAACAGCCTACTACGTTTCTCATTAGTACCATGACTGCCATGGCAAAATTTTTAACAGTTTAAAAAATCTGGCACCGCATCCACGGCAATCACGGACTGTCAGTCTCCCTACGTTGTCTCACGTCCATCCCGTTTTGTCCCCGTTTCACTACGTTTCGGTGAAACGGGGCTGTCGTGGCCTCCGGGAACATGGTGTAAACCTAGCATTAAGTCAGTTTGACAGCAGTATCAGTTTTAGGAGTTCATTTAAAGATTTTACATTTTATCTCCATTGTTCAAATTGTCTTTACCTTTCCTGTAAATAGAGCGATTAGTAATTTCTTCTACGTGTAGTTCTTCTAACGGGCCTGTGGATTGTACAGTCTGATTGTTTAAAAACAATTCCACCTGTGCCATGAGAGGTTATGATGCATATCTATCACGTTTCATGCATAAAATATCGCACATCAGTACGTAATAGTCGCTAATATGTCATATCCGTGCCTTCTGCAAGCACAGTGTGCTGCGTACATTACTATCCCTGTCATTGGACACCATTGTACCTTCCGATACTTTCTCAACTCCTTGGGGACCATACAGCCTCGCTGCGTGTTAGGTGCTTAAAGAACAAATGGCTCACATTGTCAGTCTCATGGGTATCCATTTTACAGCTGGGTGGACTGGGACATTGTGGACGGGGGTACCTTGTTCAAGGATAGCACTCAGATGTTCCAGCCCGGGTGTCAAAGTCAAAGATGTTTATTGTATTTTAGGCCTCCGGCCCATATACATTAGAGTTGCATGTATTATACAATCACATACTGTTTGAATACAGAGATGATTTTGACAGAATATCAAGCTTAGACATTGCATTTTAGATGTATTGTGATGGTTTTAAGTTAGTACAGTTGTCATAAGTAGACAGGGTTTGTTTAAATGATACAGTAGATGACTTGGAGAGGCAACATTCAGGAATTGTTTAGATGCTACAGTAGGTGACTTGGAGAGGCAACATTCAGGAATTGTTTAAATGCTACAGTAGGTGACTTGGAGAGGCAACATTCAGGAATTGTTTAAATGCTACAGTAGGTGACTTGGAGAGGCAACATTCAGGAATTGTTTAATGCTACAGTAGGTGACTTGGAGAGGCAACATTCAGGAATTGTTTAAGTGCTACAGTAGGTGACTTGGAGAGGCAACATTCAGGGTTTGTTTAAATGCTACAGTAGGTGACTTGGAGAGGCAACATTCAGGGTTTGTTTAAATGCTACAGTAGGTGACTTGGAGAGGCAACATTCAGGGTTTGTTTAAATGCTACAGTAGGTGACTTGGAGAGGCAACATTCAGGAATTGTTTAGATGCTACAGTGGGTGACTTGGAGAGGCAACATTCAGGAATTGTTTAAATGCTACAGTAGGTGACTTGGAGAGGCAACATTCAGGAATTGTTTAATGCTACAGTAGACGACTTGGAGAGGCAACATTCAGGAATTGTTTAAATGCTACAGTGGGTGACTTGGAGAGGCAACATTCAGGAATTGTTTGAATGCTACAGTAGGTGACTTGGAGAGGCAACATTCAGGGTTTGTTTAATGCTACAGTAGGTGACTTGGAGAGGCAACATTCAGGAATTGTTTAAATGCTACAGTGGTGACTTGGAGAGGCAACATTCAGGAATTGTTTAGATGCTACAGTGGGTGACTTGGAGAGGCAACATTCAGGAATTGTTTAAATGCTACAGTAGGTGACTTGGAGAGGCAACATTCAGGGTTTGTTTAATGCTACAGTAGGTGACTTGGAGAGGTAACATTGAGGGTTTGTTTAAATGCTACAGTACGTGACTTGGAGAGGTAACATTCAGGAATTGTTTAAATGCTACAGTAGGTGACTTGGAGAGGCAACGTTCAGGGTCATATTGTTTACGTAAATCTATGTAAGATGGACAGACAAATAAAAACTGAATTTCGTTTTCATACCCGGGTCTTTGATGTGCAAGACAGATGCCGTATCCACTACACCATTGCGTTGAAGATGTTACTAGGATAATTATAGCCATAAAATACAAGTACCACTGTAAAGATACAATGATAAAGGTGCCTTTACATGGTACGATGTGTAGTAAAGAACTTGTAGCATGCGATCAGTCGTGACAAATAGGGTATGTTCCAATTTTCGCGACACATCGTAAGCTACTTCAAATCGTTACGACAAGGGGTTTACACGTTTCGATATTGAACTGATTCAGGTCGCTGCTGCAAGTCTTTAATAATGAGGGTCCCAGTTCAGCAAACGTTTCTTTAGTCATTCGAAAATGCTCTACCTACTGGTCATCATCAAAGGTGCCTTGCACAATGTCTGTCCACCAGGTTCGTGAACGGGTCTTTTTCCAATCATTTTTGTCCTTTGTTAGACCTTGGACAAGTCATGTAGTTAACGAATACTGCAGATCTCCTGTGTGTTTTAAAATCAACAGCCTATTCATTTTGTGTCTGAACATTAAATGACCAAACTTCTTCAAAACCAGGTGTCTGGGTGGTATGCAAATCTGATATACTCCTGTTGGTTAAATTTCCATGTGAACAGAAAGTAAATATACTTTTACTCCTGTAAGTTAATTTACTCCATAAGTAAATATACTTACAGGAGTAAATGTGTGCATGTAAATGAGGCTTTAGACACTGCGTAATACAGTCCGACCATTCAGTCGACTCTAACGCTGGGAAGGTGTTTTCTACCCAGACTCCAGTTCATTTACAAAACAACCCAAAGTATTACCTTTCATAGTCCTGCAGACGACGTTGCCTTGGAAACCAGATGTGCCGTGAGATCCATAGCAGTGACACAGACCATGATATCCCCAGATAGTACACGTACTGTGATGTGTCACACTTTTCTGTGTATTGGCATATGTGTTGGATAAAACCAGTGTCATCGTAATGGCAGTCACCAGCCAAAATCCCTAGTGTAACGAGGATGGATAAAACGATAGGTACAGAGAAGGACATTATCTGCATCTGTAACTTACAGGCTGTGTATGCTGTAAGGTAGGCTACGAAGCCACCAATAGTTACAGCTAACAGGGCAGACAATGTGGGAATGTCTTCGTGTAGTTCCGTAAAAACGAATAGTGCCTTGTAACTGTTCTTGAGATCAACTCCCTTCAAATACATCATCAAGTAAACTGCTGCAACAGTGATCATGACTTTCCATACTCCTGCCACCATCGCCACCGTGCATCTTCCTTCTTGCAGTTCAAAGCGGATCTTCAGTATTTTGTTCATGAAGCGGTTATTGTAATTGCCCTTCTCTGGCAAACCCTGGGTATTGAGATCGGCAATATGACCGTCTACAAATGTCTCCCAACATTTTATGGAAGTGAGAGAAAAAAAACAGTCACGAAGACAACTTTGTCTGTTGTATTTGCCAGGCGCTGTGTTGAGTCTATCGATGGTAGGATTAACAGGACTACTGAAGTTTGGCAAATGAGCGCAAAGACATCCAAACCTTTCTTCAACACAGCCATTACTTTGGAATCCCCGTACATGTGTCCAGAACATGTAGTCAGAAGAAGGGAGGGCAGAATGTTTGTGGCACTCAGGAGAAGCACTCCAGATATGACGTCATACATGGGTAGGATCAAGAAGACGAGGGCACACAGTCCTAGAGAGTGGATGGTCTCAGATAACAGAACCTGAAACAGTTAGGTCTAAATTACCACTTCACAAACGCTTAATCATCGTTTCAATATCCACCTGAATGCATTGTGTAAATATGAAGATATATATTTATCCTGACTCAATGAAGACTGTTTTCAATCCAACATACGTCAACAAGGCATCAACCCACTCATTTGTACTCCACTATGCTTTTATCGGGGCGGTTGGGTAGCCTAGTGGTTAAAGCGTTCACTCGTCATGCCGAAGACCCGGGTTCGATTCCCCACATGGGTCACAATGTGTGAAGCCCATTTCTGGTGTCCCCCGCCGTGATATTGCTGGAATTTTGAAAGGCCGGGTGGGACAACTTAGGAATGGCCAGCGAGTCCTAACTTGAGACACACAGAAGGAAGCGAGCTACAAAGACATAATTTATATCATTGGAAAGATCTCGAGGAGATGAACCCAAAAAGTTCATGTGCCAGTGCGCTCACGTGTTCATAAGCTCACAAATGGGCTCTGAAAATGCATTTCTGCAGAAATTACTGGCAGAATTAATTTTTTCCGCAGAAATTTCTGGCAGATTTTTTTTTACCGCAGAAATTTCTGGCAGAATTTTTTTTTCCCGCAGAAATTTTCATTTCACTGCCAGAATTGTCTTAATTGAAAATGATTAGACACCATCTTTGGATAATTCAATATGGACTTTCTTCAAATGATGTTGTTTTCTCCTGTAAACAACTTCAAGTGGGAGGGGAAATGGTTCCCAGAAGTAGATCGCCGCACAAATCTTACAAGGCATATTTTAACATCTTATCAAGACGAAATGAAAATAAAAATAATTTGATGATTTCTTTATACATCGTTTATTCACACTCTGTATTACATGAGTTTCATTGCGCTAAGTTGCAGTCATTTCATCTCTGACATGAGTCCCGTTGTCCCTTTGGTATGGTTTATGTATCTCTATTGTTTGTATAGTCACTGAACTGTAAAATGGAACACTGAATTGTATATGGCAGATGTGTACTCTTGAAACCACAATGAAGCTGTTTTTCAAACAGTCTTGCAATAATCGAATCAGGATTAGGTGTCTTCCCCTTAAGACGACATTTGGTATTACAGTGAAAATCCTTTGATGTTTCGCCGAGGTAGACTCATGTTGTTTTAATGGATTAGTGAGGTGGGTTATACTATAAACTGAACTGCATAACGAAATCGGTGTTCATTTTCATGATATCAACTCACATTGTAATATGAACATGATATCAACTCACTGGTTGTTGATTTCCATTGGTATCAACTCACTGCTTATTGACTGACATTGATTGATTTCAGCTCACTGCTTATTGACTGACATTGATTGATTTCAACTCACGACTAACTGATTGCCTTTGACACTGATTTTAAATCACTAATTATTTGTTTGCTTATTGATTGACATTGATTTATTTCAACTCACTACTACTGATTGCCTTTGACACTGATTTTAATTCACTATATTATTTGTTGATATTTACTCACTAGTTATTATGGGTATATATCCTGCTTATCCGCAATCCAATGCATCACTTTCGAAATGGCAAATCAGCAGTTAGAGTGCAAGTTCATTCCAACTTCACGCGGAGGAAGGTGTCTCTGTATAGATAGGATACATGTTTAGAGTGAGCCGCAAACACAATGCTGCATCGCGGATATCATGGATGTGCCTAGATAAGAACTGCACTTAAACTATTTCTACAGTTGAATGATGACATTCAAATGTATATAAATTATTTGTTATCGATAAACTTGTCACGGATAAAAATGTCATATGTATTTTAAGGGGTGTAAATAATGGTTCGTGGGAGTATTTCATTTATTTACCGGTTAACAATTTAGTATCATCCATCTGCTTAAAATCACACAGAACCTCCGTTGTTCTCCAGAGGCAGTCGACTTGAAAATCCTTGCATGCTCCACTGATTTGTTGTTTTAAACATCACAGTTGTCGACTTCCCGGGAATGAACTAACAGAACGAATCTTCCATAGGTAGTAGGCAAGTGGTGAGTGTTTAGGTCAAGGGTTCTGATTACAATATTATAATGTTGTGACCTGATACAGGGATGCATGTATATACATATTGTATAAAACTTGAAATGTTTCACTTCTTCAAATCCTGCATTATGTTGTGTAATAACGTAATGCGGGTAGAAAACATGTGTTCTAGACAGCAGTAATAAACGATCCCGACAAATACCGTCCTGTGTAAATACTCGTAATGGCTAATTATTTGGGAGAGTGTGTATTTGACCGTCCTTTCACCTGTATCAGATAATTTATGAGACACCTGCGTGTGGGCCACTTCTTGTTTATTCTAGGTAATTAGCAATCAGTGTGATCAACTGATCTGGATCTGATCTTGTTGGGTTTGGGGTATTTGCATCAGAATGACAATAACTGATTCATGATCAGGAAACTAAAACTATATACACTTCTGTTATTACCTCAAAGACCGGTTTGAGGAATTTAAGCAATTCATATCATCATGACATTAGATGTTTTGGTTCAGTTCTGTGTTGGACCTATTCGATACACTATGTTTCAGGTGTACGAGGTCAGATAAAGTAGGTTGTATATATATATATACAAATTATACAACAACGTCATGAACAGCAATTATGATTGTATGTTTCATTGGCATTCTAGCATGCGGCTTCTTAATAGCAACTTCTTGTTCTTTGCATAAAGCAACGTGTGACGAGCGCTGTGAATGTAGTGACTGACGAAGGGTACTACATACCATAGCCTACGAAGAGCTGACCAAGCTATAGACTTCAATCAGCACCCGTTTTTTATGACTGTTTTTACAACTTAATCCGTCCTGCTTATCGGCTTCATGGCTGTGCTATTTATTGTTCTTACTTCCCACCTGGCCTCGTCCAATTATCTACCCCTTGTTATTCAAGTACACGATGTTTGTCACAGCATTCGATCATTTTAATCACTTGGTTTTTGTCACCGTTAGCTTGAACATGGTGTGAGAACCTACACAGAAACGTTGCTCTTTGCAATTAACGGTGTCGTCTCAGGACGCCGACCTTTCGATTTTCTACTAGTCTCAGGACGCCGACCTGCGGTTTCCTTTGAAGGTTAGGTTCTGATTAGGCTTAATTAGCGTTGCGGATAATCTACTCTAGATGATTTGATAAGGTGAACTCGTCGCACATATCACTTCCAGTTGATTGAAAAGTTTACAATAACACTTAGCAGAGTGCCAATATTGAACACTGTTCATATCTTTGGTATAAATATCTATGGAATGGCAAAAGGATTCACATTCGATTTCGAAATGGCAAATGCACCGTTCGATCAGAGATTCATCCCTACAGCTCGCGGCAGTCGTTACTTGGTTGTTGGCGGGTTCATGTACAGAGTCACCAGGAGAAAACGAGACTGGATATCTTGGATATGTACTGCAAAAGACTGATGAAGACCGCTGCCGACAACTCGGAGACTACATGACCAACTTCTGGGTGGAGGGAGATCTGCACATGACGCAATGGAACCACCACAACACAGATGGGCCAAGAACAAACAACCACCCAGAAGGGTGGCATTCACGCCTGAAGAAATATGTCGGCAAGGCTCATCCAAACATTTTCGAGATTGTGTCGTTGCTGTCACGAGAACAGACCAACACCGAAAACAAGTTGGTCCAGTATGCGGCTGGCCAGAAGCGTCCGTCCAAGAAGAGGAAATACAGGGATTTGGAGCGACGACTGGATGACATTTGTCCCCAGCTTGAACAAGGAACACTGTCCGTGAGGCAGTTTGCTGATTCTGCATCCCACCTATTGCATTTAGGTTAAAATCTGTGAAAAAATGCTATAGGAATTTACGATGTACATGTATTCATTAAAAATGCTAAAATCTGTCAACTGATAAAAATCTGTCATCTGTTGTCATCTTCTCATTAGGTGCGCTCTCATCCACATAATCCGGATTATCCTCTTCTAACAACTCTTTGATCCTGCATTGTCCTCGTAATCCATTATTAATTGGCAAAATGAAACTAGTCTCAGGACGTCGACCTTTATATTTCACTCAACCGTAAAGTTTGGTCGAAAGGTCGGCGTTATGAGCCTGAACCCAATTAACAAGAAGTTGCTATCAAAAAGACCGTATGCTTTTATTAGCAATTTTGCTGTCGCATTCCTGGGAAATTAGAGACAATTGTGAATGTCGAGTCACCACTGATTTTTTGAAATGATGTTAGTCACCCAGGGGATTCCTACAAAATATCGTGTTAAATTGTTTGAAAATATACCAGTCCTAATGATTCATTCATCCACATCTCTTGTTTACCTAACACTGCCGTTGCAATAAACAACCTATACATTGGATCAGTAAAAGAGCAAAACTTGCTTATGAAAATATCTCTTCAGGTAATGTGTTGAAACGGCTGGTTTGTGCACATAGATAGTGCTAAACATAATGTACCATTGCACAAATGAAATGCATAAAGTCAGTATTTTGAAGTCAGTGGCCTAACAAACTATAATGTCTACGTTCTATCGAAAAGGTATCAAAATTTTCTTAGAAAAAATGGCGAATGAAACTTGATGAATACGTTTGGAAAGAGCTACGATATATACCTGCAAAACGCAGAGGTTGTTCGAGATTTATACAGTATTGTGATTTAAACAGTATTTTTAAAAATTTCCATTAATGTTTACATTTTTCATAATACACGACATAACAAAATGGAAATAGGATTAGCAAACAGGCCATATGGCCTATGTCAATGCTTCTCCGCATATAGTTCGTTATTATTTTGACTTAATTCTATGGAGCAGACATTAGGACATTAATGAATGAATCAAAACAAAAGAAAAGAAAGAAAAGAAAATAAAGAATAAGACTCCAAGTGCATTTAATGTTTACAGGTTGTTACTTGAATTCCGTAAAGCGGTTAGTTTCAGTTATATAATTCTGAACGGATTTCTTGTCGAAAGGAGATAAATCGTCATTGCCGTGAAGTATAGTATATATG